ATATCTGTTGCAAATATTAGATGACTATCGTATTCAAAGCGCTATTGTTATCACAAAATGATCCAGAATAAAAGTTAGTGCCTTATAGTAACTTGAAATTGAATGACTAGTAGTTTTAATAAGAATCCATAAAAAATAATTCAATGATCATGATATGAAATCGAGTAAACTAAGCAATAACATTATATTATATTAGTAAATATTTACAACAAAAAAATTTATCAAATTTTACCTCAGAAACCTTCACGACAAATTTCATTGTTCGATTTCATTGGAGCAATTCTTGATTTGCTGACAGCACAGCTGGATTCCGGGTATTTTTCTAATTGAAAATGTTTCATTAGGATTGACTTTTTGATTGTCTTGTCGTTCCATTGCTGATGTCTATTTCACCAAAACAAGTTTTACTGCAAAAATTAAAAAAAAATTAATTAATAATATTTTCAAGAAATTTTATAACATTTCTAAGAAAAATGCATAAGGTTTGCAGTTTATGATGTGATAATAGATTAAAATTTGTTTTACAATTACAACTATTGTAAATTTTGTACATGTAATGGGTATACCAGATATTATTAAGTTTTTTTTTATTATACCAATGATACCAATGATACCTTTTACGGTATGAATGAAAAGGCTCACAACAGACACAATCGTTACTTGAAAACCAAAGATATATATAATTCATTAGAATATAAAAATTCTAAAATATCTGTTCATAATAAAATGGATATAAAAATATTTAACCAGATCAATTTACAAGGAGAGCGAGATAGTGGGATTTGTGAACATTTTAATAATTTTGTTTTGTACGATCAGTCAAAATTTATATTAATATTGACGGTTTAATATTATTATTTTTGCTAAGAAAAAATTATTTGAAATCAAATTTGGAAAAAGTATGTTTTTAATTGTGTATGAGTTCTAAATCTGAATTCTTGATTATTTTGATTATCGACACATATCGGAAAGTTTTGCAACTTGCCTTAGGCAAAAATGCTAAGTAGTTATATCTGTAGCATGTTAATCTGCTTCATACAAAGGATGGTGAATTTATCTAATCCATGGAGCGCATATGAAAATTTAAATGAGAAACATGCCAACAAGCCGTGGAAACTAATTAAAATAACAATTTTCTGTCATAGATATTTCATTAAAGATATTACACTTAAGTAGCAAAGTTCGTAATTAGTCAGATTTTGCAAGGCCGCGTTTGCTAATTATAAAATCTAATTAGTTTCGAGAAAAGTTTTCAACTTGTTTGCAGCATGTGCGATATCGTTGATCGAAAACCATAAGGCTTGTTCATAACCGTTCTATGTAATTTTATTAACAACATTCAAACTAAGAAACAGGTTTCAGGTAAGGAACATTGCTTACAGATCGATATTTTTTACTTAACTATAAATAACTAATTAAATTAAATTAAATTACTAATAATAAATCGGATTATTTATTACTAAGTGATTATTTATATACATTCAAGTATATAAAGGCTATGTACTTATTAATATTTAGAATATTGCACAAACTTCATATAAGAACCAATAGCTGTTTAACAGAGCTTTGATCTTTGTAAATATTTACAGTTTACATATAACTTTGCACGAGTATGTATTTTATGAAATTGTGTGTTTGTTAAATACTTTAAAATGAAACTGGTGTATTTCGATTTTAATTTAAAAATATGTATTTCATTATACAATGTCATTTACACATGAAGGATATTACATAGATTTTTTTTGCCTCAGACATTACACTCTTTCATAAATTATATATAATGTTATCATTGATTTTATACACAATCGTATGTACCATATTGGACATGTAGAATAGTGAAAAGGTTTGACAATTCTTTAAAAAAATCATGTAACAATATATGGCAAAATGAATTCAAATGTTCGTTATGGGTCGATCAGGCTATAGTTTGGCATGGCATGTTTACCATACTAAACTATATGTTTAGTGAATTGACCAAGTGACTGGATGTTGATATAGTTGTGATCCCTACATTTGAGGAAAAAGTTCTCATTGATCTTTTTTATGTAATCGGTTACTGTCGGTACGTCAATAATTTGTTCGTGTATATATTTTGTTGAATAGCAGTTTTTTGTCAGTGAGTCTGTCTATATTTCTAGTACTAGTAATTTCTAGTTATTTTAAATTATGAATGCATTTTATGAAATAATAGCTAAAATATTCAACAAATGCAAAGTATAAACTTCATAGGCATATTTTTTACAAAGATTACATTGTATATAACTTTGAACTGATATTTTGTCAGAAATATGCATCGGCAGAGTTGGAATAACTATTAATTCAAATTTATTCTTGTAATTTTTTTTTAATTTGAATTTACATTTCTTTATTATTTACGCCTTTTCCATGGCAAAAGTTAAGTTGGTCCCTTTTGAGTCCTCCACATGTAAGCTAGTATAGAGGTTATGTAAAAACATCTGTTGAATTCAACTTAAAATTTTCAAATAATATATAAAACAATTAAATAACGTATACTTGAAAATTATATTCAGCTTTTGTAAGCTCACAACCAAAAAATCCAATAACGAAAGAAAATACCTTTCTTATAGATTTTCCAACATGGTTCTTTATATGCTTATAGAGACGTTGCTTGGCTATGGCTGACTACACGTTTTTTACTCTACTTTCAAATATTGTTGTTAAATTCCTAACATCTAGTGCGGACCTTTAAGTTTCGCTCTACTCTATGATTATTAAATATTCAAAATTGGTTGATGAGTTTTTACAAAATCATTAAATCAATAAACAAATTTTTGCACTTGTATGCAAATTCTGTATAAATGGCTCAACCTATTGTTTCGCTAATCAACTAGTTATATTAAGTTTAATCAAATAGCTTTAAATTTTTGAAATCGGTGAGCCGTTTTTGAGAAAGTCAGAAATTGGTTGACACACATATGTGTGTGTTTCTAAATGTGGTGGCTAATGATTTAGAAGATGAA